TCATTTTAGGAGCCAGCATAGGTCTTAAGATTACTGAAATCTGCTCAATTTAGTATTCGCCAAAAAAGAAGAATCTACGTTTTTTCTGTTTTATTTTCTTAATCCCATCGTATGTGTCTTATGCAATTAATTAAATAAAATTCCAATTATTTAAATCTGAGTAACTAAATTCTATAAATCTTTATTTCGGATAATTGTTGTATTTCTGAGGCAAGTTTAATTAAATTATATTATACGCGAATTTCTTAACTTATTTAAATAAATGGTAATTTTCAATTTTATTTTAAGTACATTTTAATTTTATTTTAAAAAATTGTAAGAAATTTTCTCTCTCAACAGAGTGAATGATTAGAAGAATATTTTTTCTTCCACTGCATTAACTTCTGAATAATTGTTTTTTACTTTCATTGACGAGCTCTCCGATCACTTTGTGCGGATTAAATATTTGCAGAAAGCCTTTGACCTGAGATGGAATTGAAACGGTAACTTTCGAGAGTACGCAGCATGTGATAACTTTGCTCTCACAGGAAACTTGGACTGCGAGCGAAAACTTCGGATGTCATTTTTTTAACTCGTTACTCGTGAAACTTCTTGATTACGAAGACAGTTATCGTCAATAATTAAAAAGTTGCCAACAACGAAAAACACGGAAGAAATTCGAAAGAAGGAAGCCTCGCGAAAGTCATCTGTGAACGCGAGAAACAAAGTTCTGATGTCAAGTTTCTTATAAAATGTCATTAATGGTATTGTGCTCAAACTTGTTTTATTTTCTCGAGGTGAAGAGGAGGAAAGCAGGATTGATAAAGAAGGAGGATGATTTTGTTCAGATCAAAGTAAATCCTCTGTAATTTTTAATGAATTAAATTCTATATTCAAGATATTATTTCGTATTCTCTAACAGAACTCGGCACAAAAAAGAACAGGGCAAGGAAGATAGAGAAGTTATTTAGAAAAATTCGCGCGATTTTAGAATCATCGCGAAGTTTGTAGCTAGCATTTAGACGATAAATCTGCCGGAAAGTAATTTAAGAGAAATTTAGATAAATGCGTTATATCAGATTTCAAAATTTGTTACATTATAATATCATTATAAACGAATTGAGAATTGTTATTAATTGAAAATAATCGATAAATACTAAATAATTTCCATTTTCCAAAGAAGTGAGGGCTTTACTTCTTTGACTCTCGAGCTTTACTTATTACGGAGTTGGCGTATGTCAAAGCTGTATAATTTTTTAACGTAAAAACTGTATCTAAAAAATTATCATAATTAGAAATATAAAGATTAGAAGGTGATTATTTTAATATTCTTTACTGAATCTTAATTAATGAAGAATTCTGATTAAATTTGGACTTTCTTTCTTATTACGAGTAAACGCTGAGAAATCTTTATTTGGGAAAACGCGATTAGTAAAAAAAGTAACGCGTCGAAATTTCCGCTTTTCCATTAAATTTTCCCTTCTGGCCTTCCAACTTCTCCATCTTCCACACCCCACAGCCCTCGTATTCAGCCAACGTATTCAGCTAGCCGGCTGAAAGCTTCGAACAAACAGGAACACGAGATTACCGTTCAGCTTGAGCCGCCGCGTTTCTTCCAGCGGATTCCGGGTATCCTTCCGGGTCTTCCACCCTCGCTATACTAAGGACACACTATCACACCGAGGAAATCGAGAGAAATCACCGCGAGCGACGGTTTTACCGCGGCTACGAAGCCAGAGCGAAAATTATCACCGGTATGAAATAAATCGTACTTTACGTATCTTCGACGTGGACGACGAGAACGACACTCCCCACCCTCGGCGGTTCAGCACGTACTCTCTTGCCTCCGTCGTTGGGAAAGCAACCCCGCCGCGAGACAACCCCTCGAACCGCCCTGGAAATAACGCTCCGACACCGCCAGATCGCAGCACCGCGCGGCGCGGCCGAATCGATCGTCGTGACGTCACGGCGTCCACGCAAGCGTCGCGGCCACCACGAATAAATATCGTCCATCTCCACCACGGTTCGTCTAGATTGTTTGTCTAGAGTACTCTAGAGTTTAGATGAATGGATCTTGCGTTCCAACAAGCGTCTCGAGAGTCTCTTTAATTACGTCCGAATTTTTATAGCGATAAAAAATAAATATTCGAAGAGATGGAGAGAACGTTCTGTGTAATATATTCTGATGGTATATAAATTTGTTATTTTATTTCTAGACTAAAAATTAACTAATTGTAAATCCGGAAGGGATCAATTTTATATATTTATATTTCACAAATCCCAACAATTGTAGATTTCTTCGTATAAACATGTGTGTAAAATGTATAATGCTAACGTATAAAAATTAATATACTTAAAAAAACTATTTAAAAATCTATACGATATAAATTATATTTTATACATCTCTCGACAGAAGAAGTTTATATTTTGTAAATATTAATATTAAATTTTGGAGTTCTTTTTTTTTAAATATAAATTAAAATTTTATTTTATAATCTCATTGTTCAAACTTGTTCCTACAAAAGATCTGGCGCATGTCCAACGAGATGCACCGGAATGATATTACGCAGCGGCATCGTCATCTCATCGTCAGAATGCACGAAGGCGAGGAAAAGGCACGCGTCCGCGTCACGTCGCGCCGCGATCGGCTTCTACGCCGCGGGAAGGAGCCGCAGGACAATGCTGAGAGGCTGCTGTCAGAACGGACAAAGGCGCTTATCTTTTTGCATACGCTATACGTAACACAGCCTCGTTCGCCGCGCGCGTCGCGCGTCGCTCTGTCCGTGCCGCGCGCATCCAAGAATATGTCATGCGCTAAATGGGAGCGTAGTGTGTTCCGCTTCAAAAGATATAACCAAAAGTTATCAATA